AGAGGCCTGCTTGCCAGCCTCTTGCCCTGTGACTATGGCACCTGGGGTGTATTGCCTTTTAAAAAACACTATTTGTGCATATTGGGACTTAGCACAATGCCCCTTTCAAACATGTGGTGTCCAACAGTGTTTTGTCGTTGAGTGTATGGAACTGTTTTGGACATGGGACTATGTGCACGGTGGGGCAAAAATAAGACTTCCAGGAAAATCCTGAAGCCCTGAACTGATCTGGGTGATTTTTGGATATGTTGTTCACCCAGATCGGGGCTATCCGGGGATGTGGGGATATGTTGTATTTTGGGGTACTTTGGGGGGTTTGTAAAAATGTATGTTTTTTTCTGCTTATAGTTAATTGAGTTAGTCCATTGTCTTTGTTAATTATATCACAGGCAGAAGGGAGGGTTTGTGTACATTATCTGGGAGTGTCTAACTGTACCATACTGTTTTGATTGGCTTTGTGACTTTGTGTCCTGTGCTCCACAAGGTCCACCTGGGTGGTAATCTTGTGGGGAAAACTGTATAAAAGGCAATAAACCCTCAGAACTGCTGAGTTCCTGTTTTATCCTAAACATAGAGCCTCATCTCATGTGTGGGGGAAAATGCTGCATCTACACTGGGGGGATTGCTATACTCTGTATATTCCCCTGGGATATAATCATTAAGCTCTTTTAAGAGCTATTCCTGCTTAACTCTCTGGAGGAAGAGAGGGTCATCCACTGGAACCTGGAGCCTTGTCGTAGGTCCAGGGTGGGTAGAGGATGCCGAGTTCCCAGCCAAGCTGCGGCGGTTTGTGGGATCTGTAGTGCTTATGGTGTCTGGTGCGGTGCTGATGGTCCTCGGTAACCACTAGGAGCATCGATTGATGGAGGGTCCATCACAAGCATTTCTTTATTCCTTAGGTCCAGCTCTGACTTTGAGGGACCCCTTCTTAAACTGGTAGGAAGATCAAAAGATCTCCTTGGTAAGCCCTGTGCCCCTCAACTATCTCGGAATAATGCTCACTGAGTCACTGACTAAGAGCCAGACCATGAGGGAGCTCTTAAAGTGATCTACACTCCTCCCAGTGGACCACCAGGGATCTTGCAAATAATTGGCATGGGGAAAAAAAATACCCCTCCCACCCCCCCGCCCACATACACACACACACACACACACACAATCAACCTTCTTTTCCAGCACTTAGATACTACATACACAACACTCAGCCACCCTCTGATTCCCCTAAAAAACACAAATACGCACAAATGACACTCTGACTCTTCTACACACGAAATTCAACCACTAAATACAACACTCAACCTGCACACATAGGCACACTCAATTACTCCCCCACATACAGCTTTCACCCTCCTCAACACACACAACAATCAGCCACTACACACACACTATCACCCACAGCATTCTACCTATAGCCCTGAGCAACCTTAATACAACTCTATACATCACGCGTTATCAGCATAAAACTCAACTCAACTCTCGATTGCAAGGAATGGACTAGCTTATTCACAACCTTTCCAATTATATCAAAGGATTTCAGGTAAAACACATTCTATGGCATTGTCACCTGGAGAACAGTAACAGTTATCTCATTCCAGCATCACTTGTGGTAAACAGTAGCGAAACATCGGGTTCAGGCAAATATGTGCAATGTGCTCAAGTGTGAGAGGGAAATGTAACAATATATTGATGATAAACCAGTCAAAGATACATTTTGATTCTTGTTACTTTCTATTCAAAACACTTCTCACAAAAAAAGTATCCCTAGTTAGCAAAAAACGTGTTTAGTAGTAATGATACGGCCAAATAAAGAATGCCAAATCAATAAATATAACTCGACTCACAGCTGAGCACTTGGAAGGATGACTGTAACATTGCAACAACCAAAATAAAACCAAACAGAGAATTTATAAGACAAAACAATGCCAACATGTCTCACTAACGATATGCACATTTCACAGCATATGCACAGTGTCCTGTTTTATATTATAAATATTAAAAATAGGTGTAATTGTAAACCTCATTTATTTGTGCTTAAATGCTGTTAGCTTTATAAAAATATATATTATTGGTGACAGGTGCTACTCATTACACAATGTAAAATGTATAAAATGGATTGCTGCCCCAGAACACCCTTGTTTTAGAATGCTTACATCAGAAGAAACAGCACTTAGGCTCCAATTCTTGAGCAAAATCTTTAAATTAACCGGGGTTTGAGTGAAGTACTCAAACCTTCAACTTGCAGTAGCTTGATTCTGGTTGAAGAAATTGGTGGTCAACTTTAATTAAGGTGGCAGCATACTTAAAGGGACACTCCACTACCCTAAAACAAAACAAAACAAAAAAAAAAAATACTTTTAGTATATATACTGGATTGAAAAAATGCATGCGTTTAATTATGCATTGTTTTCTTGGGGTATATCTAAAAATAACTTGCAAAAGCTGCAGATCTCATGTCTGCAAACTTTGTAAGCCCTAACTTCAATTCATTTAGAGCTGTGAGTGCGCAGGTATCTCTCTAATTCTTACACTTCTCATTGACTGTAATCCTAGCATATCAAACACTGTTGCGTGCATGTGTGATCGAAGAGTGCATGACTCCTTGATGTCAGCTGCGTAGCCTAACTCAATGGTCATCAAAGATCACTAGACCACCAACTCCATGTGGGTGCTCACAGGCACACTGACACTTTGAGGGGAAAGCAGGTACAGTCTTAAGAGCATGCCTGCTACTTTTGTAGCTCTGTGGACCTGCCCGAATTAGGCAAAAAAAAACCTCCCCAGTTATCGATCAGCCAGGTTTTTCTGTAATTATTTATCAACGTGCCAACTCCAAACAGAAATCAGCACCTTTATAAACTGCAGATAAAATGAGTCTATGCACACAATTGGAGATTGTGTGGAGCATTCCTTTAATTGGAGATTGTGTGGAGTGCACATACCAGGGTATAACTGCACTAAAAGATTGGACAATGATAAGTTGCATAAATTATGTAAATAATGATCTGCCAACATCGGAGGAATTGAAGCTGTGGCTTTTAGGGTGGAAGATTTGAGCTGCATTTATTTGTTGTCTTTTGGTAACATTTTAAAACAGGGTGGCTTAGAGCCACTGTTTGCATTTACCGGAGGATCGAAGGTAGTCTGCAGTGTACTCCACTCCATGGCATTCCGATGGAAAGTTAAATGGTGGGAGAATAGGCAATGTGTTATTATCAGACACCCTTAAGGCTCGGCACTGGCGGCTGCAATACATAGCAGTCCAGTGGATCAGCAGAGATAGGTCCTTTCTTTCTTCCATGTTGGTCGATGCTGTCAGCTATTGCATGTTATGATGTACTAATATATCTTTAATTATAGAATGATGTAAAAAAAAACAGATAAAATTTGTATCTTGTAATACCTTTTTTATTGGACTAACATATTTTTTTGGAATGACTTGAGAACGGGAGGTTCATTCGAAAGCTTGTCATTCCAAAATTCTGTTAGTCCAATAAAAAAGGTATTACAATATAAAAATGTTATCTGTTTTTTTACATCCACATCACTGGAGTAATATAGCTAAAATCTCTACTCTACCATTATAGAATGAAATAGTAAAGAAGCATTTAAGGAAGATATGTGCCTCACGTGACATTGATCTCATTCCTCCCAACATTACACCACTGATATGTACCCAGAGGTTGCTGCACCACAGATACTGGGGGATAATTCTATCCACTTCCAGTTTTAATCTCAGTCTAAAGATTGTACTTGGGAATCCAACAGAACTGACAGCTATACAATGGTAATGTTTATAAGAATATTCACTTCTCTGCAAGCTTGCGAGAAGATCCAAAACTCATCAGGCAAGTAATATACAGCTTGCTAGGTGGACTTGGCCTTTTATTCTGCTCTGTAGCATATTTTTATACAAGATATACAAATTACTTAAAATACCTAGAAATAGAACTCTGGCAGAAAAAAAATATGCATTATTAACTCCTTTTATCTACAATCCAACTCTTTTTTTTTATCTTCCCAAAGAGTTTTGTCTTCCACAGACTTTTAACCTTACCTTTTGTTTTAAACACATTTTTTTCTCAAATTTCGAGACAAACCAAATGTTCAAATTTAATTTCAGAACAGACTTAATTGAAACAAAAAGTTTTTTCTGTGACACTCTCTAATGGGGAGAGTGATGTGAAAATAAAAACAAGCAAATACGAGAAAACATAAGCAAAGAAATACAGGTAAAATAGAATGAAAATGGCAAAAATACAACAGATCAGGGTGGAAAAGTCAACAGGGGCACCAAAGCAATAAAGGATGGGGAAATGAAAATACACAAAGGATTACGGCTACCCAAAAGCCTAAAAAGGGATAAAGGATAAAAATCACATTATGGAAACGGTGCTGGGTGAGATCCATTATAAAAGAAACGTGATGCAAAAATAACAATTGGCAAGAGTGAAACGAGGAAGAACAGCACATAAGAGATAGAACGGTTACTATATATGGCAGTGGCTAAAATGGACAGGCATATTTAATGATGTTCCGGTATTAGTTAGGTTTGTAATGGCCACAAAAATATATGCTTTTCTTTGTTTTTAATCTCCATGTTTTCTGCGGATGCGCAGGGGTCCCCTAGCCCCAAATACACAGCTTCCTGTCCTCCGAGCTCACGCAGACATCTTATACCTGCATTGATTTGGGATCCTTGTGTTTGAACACCCTCGGGTCTCCCAAGTGGCACAGGATTCGTGCTTGAGCGAAGCTGACGGGACGTGTTCGCCGCTACTGATGCCAATTTCCCTTCAAGATGCTCAGAAAGTAATTGAAGGGATCCGCATCGTCTGATGCAAAAAGCCGCTGAGTTTAGCAATCGATGTGTTTGTCTGCAGGATGCGGAGCTCCCTAGGTGAGATCTGTACACGGCTGGATCAGCGCTGGGGTTTAGTGCACAATAAACAGCATGTTACACAAACAAACAGTAAACACTCATGTGGAGAGGGAGTCAAAAGTTCAAGGAACGCAGCAGAACAAGAGACTGATTATGAGGAAGCAGGGGAGGCAGCTCCAGACACAGAGCAACACGGCACCTGGATCAGTCGACAAAGCAAAATGACACCATCGAGCAGCCTGAGACTTACTGCAAAGACGGAGCGGGGAATATAAACCATTTATTGTTATTGTGAATGCCATCAGGTTATGCATAGCGCATAATATTTTTACTTGCCTACCGCATTGTGTATGCTGTAACATCTTAAGGCAACAGCAAATGTTCCTGTCTTCTATGAAAAAAGGAAAGACGCAGCAGAAAGCAGATTGATAAATCGCACATCCCAACATTAGCTCTACTGGAGAAGTGGTCTGTGCAAGACAACATACATGTACCTCGTATACCAGAGCAGATTTCACTGTCCATATGTATTAAGTTTCTCTTTGAGATCCTGGAAACACATTGTGACAGGTACATAAATCTTGCATATACATTAGAAATCCAGTAAACAGCATATTCATTTCATCCGCCAAATAATCAGATTATCCTATCAAGTAGGAGCAGAATGATTAGAATTTCATTGCCAGGCAGTAAAGTTTATGGAAAGGTATAAAAATGACTTTATGAATGTTATAAACCATAGGGCTCTTGTGAAGATGCATCTCTGGTGGATTCAGGTCACTGTGTGAAGGTCTATAAATGATCAACGGAGGTATAGAACCCGCAGGAAATGATCCCACCCATTGTGGGGTGTGATAGAATCAGTGGGACATAAAACTTATTATCATCACCGTTACAATGTAAAATGGAATCATAAGAAAATGTAACAACGTATCGTACAGTGTGAGGACAGGTGGAATCAACAGAGCATATACAATTAGGCTGCAAGGTGACATAATAAGATGCAGTACCATTGCCAGGTTCCAGAAATGCATTGGGGCCTGAGCCAAAAGGAAAACGTGATGACGATTACACTGTGTTACATCGGATGATCCCTGGGATCTCAATTAAAGCAAAGACAGAAATAAGCACACACTGAACAACCTGATAGTCACACTACATTATTAATAGAGGGGTGTGCACCACACTTCGGTTACTGTGCACCCCTTCCTGACAATTATCCGAGGGGGGGCTCTCCCCCTCTCTAAGTAGGCAAAGAGAGCACTATATTACTGATCTTTCTTTTTAAAACAGCTGGCTGATGAAAAAGAAAACATTAAAAGCACTATATATCTTCTTGCCCTCTACACCAGCTGTAGAGATCTGGGGCTAAATAAGCTCACACCCAGGGCTTTAGCCCCTTAAGCACCACTAGCAACACCTATGATAAGATTGAATCTATTGTAAATTGCTTCTGTTCTCCATATTCGTAGGTGTAGATGTGGGGTGAGATCAACTACACATGTCATCTGTCAGTGCCACACAAGGTTTCACTGAAACATATCCTATGACAGCTTGTGCCTCTCACTATACATCTCACTTATACCTCTCTTCCACATTGATGATATCAGCCAATCCAATGATTTCCCCTAGGAAATCAGATCAGACAATCTGATTAAAATAGCCAAGTTTCCCTTGTTCATTTAGTCAGAAGCTCTGCTAGTGGCTGTCAGTGGAGGCATTTAAACCCTGCAATGAAAACATTGCTATTCCTGAAGAACATCAATGACGTCACTTGTAGGGTTAAAACTAGAGGAGAGGAGACCTTGGTGCCTATAGTATCACTTGAAGATGTGGGAAGCTAAAATACATTTGACTTTGTAAGCTGGAAAAATCTCATTGGTACAATAAGCTATGTGACCCAATCTGTATATACTATCTTAGGACTGAACAGCAAGAGTAAACATTACGAGACAGCACACAGAGGCTAAATGCTAAAGAGATAAAAACCCTTGAGACATTGAGTCTCTGCTAATGCTGCAACACGATCCTCAGACACTGTGAAAGCTATGGCTGGGACGGTCAATGGCAACATGGCAACACTAGTCTAAAAGCACTCAACCTTTAAAATGAAATTTAATGTAGGGCTGTCGTTCTCGTCCCCAGCACTGATGTACAGTTGATTTGCCAGGGGTATATTCACTAAGCCTGCATGTTTATAGTGAATTAATGAATCATGAAAAAAACTGCTGTAAGGGTAAGGCTAGCATGTGCATGACGGCTAATGATCTGCACAGAGCAGGCGCTTTCATTGAGATCCCAGTGCAAATCAATATAATCAAAGGAAAATAGCTAACATTCGATGTTATCAAAGCAAATTCAAACCATGCCAATTAACTCACAGTAAAGCAACGCTCGCACAGTATAAAAACCTCAGACTAACTGCAATACCTTGTTCAAAGGCAATGGGTCAAGCAACGAACAGATAGAGCTTCAGAGAGTTCATACACTGGAGAAAGATGCAGTAAATTATTTAAGAGGGATGGTTTACAAGTTAAAACACAAGAATTTAATAAATTTTTATGTTTGTACGGAGGGTCAGTGTGTCTGAATACAGGGGTGTATTTGTGCAGAGTGTGTGTGGTGTGTGTGTGTGTGTGTGTGTGAATACATGTCTGTATGTGTGAAATGTATCTATAGTGAATTTCAAGTGTCTCTGCATGGAGTATTAATATGTTTTACAGGAGTGAGAAGCGTCAGTATTTGAGAATCAAGGAGTACAAATGGGCAGAATACCAATGTATGTAAATACAGCAGTGTATGTGTTGAGTAATTGTACACAAATGCAGTTTGTGATAGCAGATCTCTCCATCCATCTCTTTCATCAAACTGTTTCTATTTCTTTTGGCAGCAAAGCAGGAGTGTAATATATAAAACCAAGACATTCAATATAAAGCAGGGGTGTCCAACACGCGGCCCACGGGCCGCATGCGGCCCAGTACCACTAGCAGTGAGGCCTGGCTGCAGTCTGGGTGGAGAGGGACTGGACTGGCCCACCCAGGCTGACAGCTCTAAAAGTAAAAAAAATGCTATTGAAATAATTTTCCCCTCGGACTGTGACGGCTTGTGTCACATTAATGATGGGGTTGATGGGAGGTGCTGGGTGGTGCTGGGGGGTGCTGGCAGCCAGAGGTAGCACTGTGAGGCTCCCTTCACCATTCTCGGCAATTCCATGTCCATGCTCCACCCCTGCATTCAAGCTCCGTCCCCTGCTCATAAGTGACACCCCAGATACAAACCCCGCCCCCACACAAGCAGGAAGAGGTAAATAAATGGCTCCCACATTCTTCAGTGCCAGGTAAGCTTCAGCTAATTTGTCTGTGACTTTGTGTGTATGTGCTTGCTAGTGAGTGAGCTTGTATGTTTGTGTTTCAGTGAGCTTGCCTGTAGTGAGTATGTGTGTGTGTAAGTGAGCTTGTCTGTGGTGAGTAGGTGTGTTAGTGAGCTTGTATGTAGTGAGCATGTGTGTGTGTGTCAGTGAGCTGGTATGTTGTGAGCTTGTATGTAGTGAGCTTTTATGTGTGTGTGTATATATATATATATATACACATTTTTTTTTTCACACACACACACATATATATATATATACACACACACACACACACACTACATGGCACAGTGATGAATGTAATTTTTGTGCATGATTTGTCAGGGATTGCCAGTGATTATGTGTGTGGGTCTGTATTTGTGTGTTCATCTCTGATTGTGTGTTTCTAGGTATGTGATTGTGTGTATATGTCCATGACTATGTGTGTATGTGTCTGTGATTGTGTAGCCTTCCAGCTGAAGTGGTAGAGGTTAACACAGTAAAGGCGTTTAAGCATGTGTGGGATAGGCATAAGGCTATCCTAACTATAAGATAAGGCCAGGGACTAATGAAAGTATTTAGAAAATTGGGCATTACTCTCTAATGCAGGGCAAGCTGTCTCATGGCTAGGTGAGTACACAATTAAGGTAAATTATTTTGAGGGATTGGGGGTATATATTTCTTTGTGTCTGCACTTGTAAGTTATGTTTTCTCCTGATGAAAGCTCAATCTGGGAAACGTTGACTTTTTAAATGGATTGAATAAAAGTGAAATTTTATTTGAAAATCTCTATAAAGTCCTTGGAGTGCGGTAATTTCTGCTATGTCTATATATATATTGTTAAGACACCCCTGGTGTCTTTAAGAGAAACCGCTGTTTAGTTAGCCTTCCCCTTTCGCAATACCAATAACTCCATTCGCATAGACTGCAATATATGAACCAACATCAGGGGAAGCGACAATCTCCCGACCGGAATCCGTGAAAGGCTCTAAACTCCCGAACGGAAATCCACGAACTGCTGCTAGCCGCCGAACAACGATATCCACCAAGTGGCTTTTTGGTTCCATTAAGCAGTCTCTAAGCGCAAATAAGAAATCCCCCCAATAAAGAGACAGAAGCTCCGCATTGAGGGTCAAACAGGATCTGGCTTTACTGTGGGCTACCTGCCCGTATTTATGCTGGTCTCCCACTTGGTGGTCCCTAGGGGACCAAATGGGAGACTGGAATTACCGACAGACATGGGGACATTTCAGACATACAGTCACAAGCTTTTCCCACAGTGCAGTATGGTTTCCTCCCCTCTGCCCTGGAGATAATTGAGAAGTAATTCAATTATCTCCAGGACAAAGACAAATCGCCATTTTAAATACAATACCAGAAAATACATAAAAATACATAACTTTATAATAACCGAACATTTCCCATTCGCACCACATATCCCCAGATAGCCTGGATCTGAGGGCATATTATTGGCGAATAGCGCTCAGATCCCACACACATAGTTCAATCGCCATGGAGTCAAAGTCCTTACAGTCTTTCGGTATGCGATTGACTCCATGGGAAGGCTATCTGGGTTAAGTCCTTTCATGTGTTGTAAAACTCCCTAACGGCCGGTGTTCGTATGCTGTCGTTGAGGCAGCCAGGCGACCCTTTGTTTCAGCGGTGTTCGGCAGAAACAGTGTCTGTTTTTAGTTCCATGAAATCAGTGCCAAACACCGCTGGGCTTTTGTGTGTTTTACAATGGCCGCTGCCTCGTGGTCGACATACGAACGACGGCCACCCTGATTTCGGTTTGATTGAGAAGTGTCTGCGGTTAACCACAACGTTCTAATTGGGATTAAGAGGTTAACCAGCAGCACACTTATCCTGGGTGGACATCCGTTCAGCAGATTTGTTCGGTGAAAACAGTCATTCGTATGGCTGGGCTAT